AATAAAAGACATGATTTGCCAACACCGGAATCACCGATAAGTAATAATTTAAAAAGATAATCGCTAAATAAAAACAATTAAACATTCGTTTTTCTTTAATTCAAAAGAAAAAAAAAAGAGATAATCAATGACTTACTATTCAGGATTCATCTTGTATTATTATTATTATTTTTCTTAATCTTTGTATCTGATATTCAAAAAACGAATGAGGAAAGAGAGATAGATAGTGTGAGATCTCTTGTTGATCTACAAGATATGATATAAAAATCAAAGTACAAAAAAAAAAGAAAAAAATTAACTCAAAAAAAAAAAACAGACAGGTAAAAGTAAAATTATAATGATGATGATGACTGATGTCGACGTTTATGTTTTAGGCAGCCTTTTTGAGATAAATTTGACCACCACGAGGATTTTTTTTTTTGCTTCTTTACCAATGATATTATATTTAAATAGAAAAAAATCTAAAAGATATCATAGAAAGAAACAAAAAAATGAAAACAAGATAAATATTCGAAATTAAAATGTTGAATCACAAGATTATATAGTGTACATTAGACTAAATGCATTTGTATTTTAAAAAAAATTCAAAAATAATATTTTATCATTGGAGAATAAAATAACCAATGAAATATAATGATTCATGCAAAGACAAACAGCTGGTATTAAGTAGAAAAAGAAAGACAGAAATTGGAAATCTATGAAAGCTTTTATTCGAACAGCTGTCGAACACAATTGATAATAGTAATCTATCGTTTTATTATAAAATAAGAACAGAATAAGAAAAGATTCTTTTAATAATATCATATTATTTAATATCTTTTTATTTTCTATCTAATGAATGGTATGGAAGAAGATGATAATCTTTCCACACGGTATACACATAAAGAAATTTATATATTAGTTATCTCACACAGGGTTATGATTTAGGAGAGAATGACGAGAATTTTTTCTTTTCATAAATGTCGAACTTTCTGCAAAGTTTTTGATATTCTCATGTGAAATTGTGGTAGAAAGGGAATTTAAGTTGTTTTAGCTTTGCTTCTGACAGATATTCATATAAAGATATTCTCTCTTAAATAAAATATTAAAGAAAGTTGATGATTTCAGCATCTCCTATTCAATCTCTGGCAGATAGAATGACGAACAACAACCCTTTGTGGCAAATCTTTACCCCGTTCCACCTTCAAAAACATGTTCTTTCGTTTTGAGTTCAAATATTCATTGATATTTCATTAAGAAATTTTTGTCGTATATACAACATTTAAATTTGAAAATGTTCGATTTTTTTAATAAAACTATTAAAGGATTACACATTATTAAAATATTTTTTATGTACATGCACATAATATAGATATAAGTTTGCATCAATTTCATTAAGAAAATGTAAAATTCGTTAATGAATCCCATTGAATATGTATCTCAGAAACATGTAAAAGAAGATCTTTTGCGCATGATTAATATCATATTGACTATTTCATAATGAATTAAAATCTTGTCATGTGATATGTGATATTTCCTATTTATTTAATCCATTTCTGAATTCACACGTTTCATATCAGCTTTATCATTAGATACTTTCTTTTTCTAGGTTAATAACAATAAAAATACAAAATCAAATATTAGACCATGCTGAGTAACAACTGTTTTTTATTGTGTTGACTCAATAAGAAAATATTGTTTTTACAATATATCAAAATTATACACCAAAAAAAAAAAAAATTAAATGAAAAAAGACAATCGTTTTTTCTCTTAAATCAAAAAAAAACAATTTCTTAATAGCGACCTACTATGTTATATGTAGGCGTCTATTAGGAATAACCATCTGTCAAAGTCCTCATATGCGTCCCACTTAAAATTTTTGCATTTCATAAAACAAGTTTGCCCTTAAGGTACATATTTTGTACCTTATTTGAGTAGTTGTTTTTCTCTTCGGTAGATACAATGAATCGTATGCTAGAAGAAATAATCAAAAACTTTCTACAATAGACATTCGAAAAGTTTTTTTCCTAGCTCCATATAATTAATATTTGAGTTTCGAAGGTAGAAAGAACTCATATGAGTTATTTGTAACCTCGCATTTTTATAGTGAAAATTAGGACTTTAAAGACCGATCTTTTATTTATCAACTGATACAGTTTGAAAACTTGTGTTTGGCATCTATTGACAGTCTAATTTCTTTTTGCTAGATCCCAATGGCATAGACTTAGTTAAACAATATTTGGTAGAAAAAAAAATGGCAAAATTTGTTCGTTAGACCTCTAGTTTCGATTTCGTGAATTAGTTTGTAACACTTCAACCCTCGACTTCCTCCAAATCTTTTCAGCAAAGGACAATCCAATTGCATATGAAGCTGTTTTCAGTCATAAATGTATTGATAACAGAGACGGGATCGATTCGTGTTTTTCTGAAACCGAACTGACGCTTTCACGTAATTTATGTTTCTTATTCAATGTCGAACAAAAAGAAAGATAGAAAGTCTGATTCCATAGAATTGTGACTAAATATGAAGCTAGATTCCAGACAACTAGAAATATAAATTCATTTTCATAAGAAAATCTATCATAGAATATACGTTGTGATGGAAATTCTCCATATTTGAAAGAAAACAAAAATGATGTAGAACTTTACAAAGAATAGAAATGTCAAATGTATTTTATTTCATACAAAAATAGATTACACAAAAGTCGAATTGCTTTGAAAGATCAGCTTCTTTATTCACTATGAAATGCAATACGTGAGTTTCTGATATTCTTTTTATGCTCTTTTACTTCACACTATCAAAATACACTTGTTTTGAATTTGTTTTGACAAACAAAATACATATATTTTTTGATGAATATGTAGAAGAATAGCCTTGATATTTTGATGCTTCAAACATATAAAATTTAGTAGAAACGAAATTAATATTCTATAAAATAGTACGCAGATTGATGAAAAAAGACAGATGCATAATCTCAGAAGAATGTGATATCAGTGTGAGAAATTTTTCTAGTTTAGTCATTGACGTATATCATATTTTTTTTTAAATTCATTCTGACTATTTCTGAATTTTGATATTCTACGATATTATTGAATTGTTGCGTAACAATTTTTCTGAAGAAAACAAGGTTTTATATTATATTTTAAATGATGCTACGCTATATGTTATCATCTATAGCCTAATAGAAGATCATGAAAAACTCATTTGACGCTTACGGAATCTATTAATCCTTTGGCTCCCGGTGACGTATATATACGTCCTGGCACTTGTTCTACCTCGCGTATTGGCCAGTCCCTGGAGGATTGTTTCCTCTTAGCTTATTATCATTTTGGGATATTCTACGATGGAAATATTCCTTCTCCTTATCACCTTCTATAGTACTATGACCTGTAAGGTCCTAAAGATCATAGGTTATCTCATTTTCCAACTTGTACATATCTTTTCTTTCTGTCATATAGATCCCTCTCCTTTCTCCTACCTTCGTGTATGACGTCATGTTTTTCCTTTGCTTATTCCACAAACATCGCAATCAAAATAGTCTCTAAGAAAAAACGCGATTTGACATCTCATAATGTTCGATATGATACACAGTGTACGTATGTTGACTGAAATGTGCCTCTATATATTATTGATTGCTTTAAAGATTATCATACAGAAATGAACTACTAATACTTTTTCGACACAGAAATGTGATTTCTTTCAAAAAATAACTAAAAACGATATTTAAATATTTCTTATAAAAATTTTAATTTTCGCAAAAAAAGAAGCCGGAAGCTAAAGAGTTAAACACAATGAAATATGTCAGAGAAGTTATGTGCGGTGTACATATGAAAGGTTTTACTGGCTTTCTTTTGTCACAATCTTCTATTCTATTAGAACAATCAATATAGTTTAAAGTGTACATGCTATTACTATTTCTAAAAATTTATCGTCATTCTAACCTTCACTGTATTCATAATGAGACAAGAATTGTGGCAACAAATTGACGAATATCGATAGTACACAAATACTCAGCGATTGTGCTCAGCCGATTACCAGTTCTCCCACATTCTTTAACTTTGGAATTTTTTAAATCGACAATGATGCATAAAATTATTGGAAAGTTTTCTAGTGATAAATGAATCATATTGAGTTATTTGTATAAAGGCAATTTGTTTTAGAAATATTATTTTAAAAATAATGTCAGCAGGTTTGTTTTTGAGAGAGCTTTGAGCGAACTAATTTCGAAGTTCATCATTGTTTAGACTACGCTCAATCCAACTTCATGCTTCCTGTCTATTGAAACTTTCGAATCAGCAGAATGAATTATTTTTCGAACCGTCTGCTGCAAAAAATTGTCAAAAATGACCATTTCCAGGGAACACTATTTTAAACCGAAATTTATACGACTCTTAGAGCTTTCTCTACTATTAGTAGCAACAATAGAGACAAGTCGTTTTTAATTCAGTAAATCTGTCTTTTGGACAAGCAGATTCATACATAACAACAATATTAGGTTGTAAAAGTAGAAACATTAGTCTACAGGGTTATTAAAATCTAATATTTCTAACATTAAGCATTACCAAATATCGAACTATTTGTATTGTTTTTCATCAAATCGAAATCGATATTTCAATCTGATTCATTTATAATTTTAACAAATAAAAGTAAATCACTGGAAGCTATTACATTTATTTCTATTGTCAAATTATATTTTGAAGATAAAAATACAACATAAATTCTTGAATAAAATATTGACATGCAAAAACAACACATAAATACTTGGACACAAATAGAACAATACGAAAAGAGAAAAAAAACAACGAGATTCAGATTAAAATACTTTTGATCTTTAATGTTTGAGTGAAGATTTTTATAATATGTCAACGGACGGTAAAACAAAATTCAAGAATAAAAACAAAACAAATAAATTTTGAGACAGAATAAAATATAAAAACAAAAACTAGAATATGTCACTGTTAAGACTCGATTAAGCAGATCAAGTAAGAAAAACAAAACCGTTAAGGGAATGTCGTAAGATTCAAGCATCATCTGTTGATGCACTCGTCAATAAATAACTGTCACGACCGAACGATTCAGCTCGTCCATTGTTAGGATTCTAGAACAAAATAAGATATAAAAGAAAAAATTATTTCATTAAACAAAAGAATTTTATTATTTCTACTTTTCGTATAGCTTTACGAACAACATTCATAATTTTTTTTGCTCGTGATTGTGATTTAAATTGTACTTCATCACCTGAATCTTCTTCATCACTTAATTGTGCACAAACATTATCAACTGGTGTATCATCATCTGGATTTGTATTTTCAATTAATTGCATATAACGATATTCAAGTCTAAGAATTATATTAAATAAAATGTACTTTTCATTAAAATCAAAATTTTCTTAAACTTACTTTCGATTTTTTCTCCAACATATAATAACTATTAATATTAATATACCTGCAATTATAATAAATACACCAAAAATTATTTGAAGTTCTAATGATAAAATAGAACATCGATGAGTTTCAACTGTTTCAGTTAAATTATGTGAACAATATCTATTTATAAAAAAAAAAAAATGTCTCATTTATTAGTAGAATAAACCAAAAAAAAAATTTTTTAAGTTACATACGGATAAGGTATTTTTCGAACTTCTTGTCTACCAAATTTACATGGACCAAAAAATGTTCGATAACCATTTGTATCATTATCACATATTGGACAAGCAAATGGTGTTCGTAAAAGAAAATAAAATATACATCCATCACAAGTACCTGTTACACAATCATTTGGAGTTTGTAATTTATATTTTATTGATGAATTTTGTTTTTCATCATCTAATAGATGATCACAACGTAATGATAAAAATGTAATACGTTCAGAACAACTTGTTTGACTTGTTGATGTATTAGCACGATAAACAAGTGTTATATCAGTTAAATTATAATCGGAACGAAGAGGTGGAAAATATTTTGATGTCGATAATGTCACATTTAATAATTGTTCACCAAAACTAAGAAAAAAAAATTGTTACGCAATCCATGCGGAATTAAAATTGTATGGAGAGGATTGGAAAGAGGAGGAACCTAAATTTTTATCCTATATACTTCAATACTTCTTCTAGGTCGTGTTTCACAAAAAAATAACTTATTTAATAGGATATTTACTCATCAACATAGGCCACAGATGTTGTAGTATCATTTTTATTTGGTATAGTACCCATACGACATAATTTCGATTCAATTTTTGTTTGTTTTTTTGAACGTTGTAATTCATCTAATGTCTAAAAAACAAAACATAAAAATTTATTTTCCATTTCGAACTTTTATTACGTACTAATGTTTTTCCACATGTAACACTTGTTTTGCCGCAAATGCTTGCATTAAATACATGAAAATAACCACTACCTTTTTGTGTGAATAATTTTGAACCATGAAATTCAACACTAAAGCAAAATTCAATTAATAATATATTAACAAAAAAAAATAACAACAACAAAATCTTTGTCTTTATTCATACGTTGATATTGCATTTAAATCATATTGAATACTTCCATTAAATGCTTGTTTACATGGAATATAGCATGAAATACCATCATCTGATATTGTATTATTCATGCATGGCTTACATATTGTTGGAACAAGATCGTTTGGTCGCATGCGACTAGCCATTGTAGATGATGGACAATGAACACATGTACCATTTGATAAAATATGACCAGGAGCACATGATTTACATCTGTTTAAATTAAACATAAAACTTAATAATGAAATAATTTTTTTATTTATTCATACTCGGTTTCTTGATTATTTGTGGTTAAACAACTAACACATCGATCAGATCCTCCAAGTACTGTATTTGTAACAAAAATTTCATAAATACGAATTTCATCAACACCTTCATCTGTATTATCTGATGTAAAAAGCCAAATAAATGTAATTTCATCAGAACTTTGAATTGAATGTCTAATAATAATAAAATAAATAAATTTTAATTAACAATAGAAAGGAGGTGGAGGACAGAGTCGTTAAACAATGAATTCACCCCTCTCGTAATATTTAGTTGATTATTTTCTCAATAGTCAATTTAGAAGTCAGTTGGCGTTAGACTTTATTCTGACTATGCGTGGCTGACTACTCAAAACTCGGTATTATCGATGTCTTATAGTGTTATACAATGTTTTATGTATATGAAAAGTTTTCCTCTTGTCTTCAACTCTTTCAATTTGAATCATATATCAAATGAAACCTCTTTCTTTACTCTATTGAATGGTATATAAAAGTGTAACAAAATATTGTTCTTTTTCTTTTACTTTTAGATAACATTGTTCACTTGTATGTACAATATAAGAACATCCATGACAAAACTCTTTTATTATTATTGCGCTGTAAGAGCAGTAATTCATATTGAGCTGAATTTTTGATTGAGATAGTTTAGTCAAGCCCACAATATTTATGAGTGTCAGAAGTTGCTCTTTTTGATAGATTTTGTTCAGAATAATTATGCTTTCTATAAAAACAAATGATATATTCGGAATCAACATGCAACACTGAGTCGATTTGTATATGCCATAAAGTTTTATTTTCGTCTAAAAATTCAACCGCTATCCTCCTCAGGATCATATCGAAAAACAAAGTCACTTCTCAATTTTTAAAAACCTATGAAAATCCAAAATGACGGATGAATAAATGATAAAAACCATGTTTTGGCTGCTTGTTTTTTTTAAAACGTAACCTTGAGGAGATTATGGTTGAATCTTTAGACGAAAGTAAAAGTTGTCGAATGAGTTTGTGACATTATATAGATCGACTCATTTTTGTATGCTGATTTCGAATATATCATTCGTTTTTATAGATATCATGATTATTCTGATCAAAATCTATCAAAAAGAGCAACTTTTGACACTCATAAATATTGTGGGCTTGACTAAACTATCTTAATCACAAATTCAGCTCAATATAGATTGTTGCTTTCACAGTTCAATAATAATAAGAGAGTTTTGTCATGGATGTCCTTATATTGTACATACAAGTGAACAATCTTATCTAAAATTAAAAGAGAAAGAACAATATTTTGTTACACTTTTATATACCATTCAATAGAGTAAAGAAAGAGGTTTCATTTGATATATGATTCAAATTGAAAGAGTTGAAGATGAGAGGAAAACTTTCCATATACATAAAACATTGTATAACACTATAAGACATCGATAATACCGAGTTTTGAAAGTCTAGCGGTGTAATTCGAACAGCAATAAGCTTCTAACATCTGAACTGATTATTGGGAAAATAATCAACTCAATTTCAAGAGAGAACCGGTTTCATCATTTAAGAATTCCCTCCTTTAAATTAAAACATACGTATAATTAACAATATCTGTATGATCAACTTGGTGTTTTACATTCCATTTTTGAATAACGGACCAATCATCATCATGAGCATACGTATCCTAGTCAACGAAATTTTTAACTAATATAATTTTAATTATTAAAAATTACCAGAGAAACTAAGAACAATGTACATGATTTTTGACATTGAATTGAAAATGTAAAATATAATGTTCCAAATTGTCTATTAGCTCGTGCTAATTCTGTTAAACGAAAACCTTTAACAATATTTAAACTTAATATAGATAATACATCAGGAAGTGCTTGAGATGATATATATGCTATACTTGGAATCTATTCAACAAAAGTTATACAGTCAAAATAAACATATATATGTATATATATACTAACCCAACTTTGATCCTGAACCAATCCATTTACTTTAAAATAAATAAAGTAAATAATTATTAAATAAATGAAATAAAAATGATATACATACAAGCTTTACTTTCATAAAAAGACATATAACTTCTATTAAAATACATTGGTAGTTCATTCCAATTTTTATAATATAAACCAGGTAATACTGATAATTCACTTTTACATTTACGACATTCACTTAAAGTTCCATCCGAATAAGTTCCTTGTGGACAAAATTCACAAAGGCCACTGTCAGTGTTTTTATACATACCACTAAAATAAAAACTAAATTTATTCAAACAAGAGGAAAAAAAAGCAGAGATACAAACGGATTGCATGTTCTACAAGTTGATTGTGTTGCTTGTGTAGAAGGAGGATCACCTATACAAACTTTTGGTTGAATAGGTTCATATTTAATTGTTGCCTAATAGATTTGTATATTCATATTGTTTTTTTTATCAAATAAAATATGAACTTACTGTATCAGATTTATCACATCCAATAAATACTTGTTGATAATGTTTCAATTCACATTTTGGCCTTGGTAAACATTCTGCTGATCCTTCATCTAATTCAATATTTTTCATAAAATAAAATAAATTATTTAGCAATTTTTTTTTACCTGCATATTCATTACTTTTACAAGACAAACATTGAGTGGAACCTTCAAGTGGTGCATAAGTATTGCTTGCACATGGTTTACAAGTAGTAGAACCCGATTTTGAAGCATATGTACCTAAAACAAATGCATACCTATCATAAAAACTCCTATGAGATTAAAATATAAACTATGATAGAACTAATTTTACCTCGAACAAGAACATTTTATAGCAATATCTATCGAAATTTATAACATACTTCAATCTGATGGATGAAACAAGATATTATTGGTAATTCTGCTACAATATATACATATAAGAAAAATGTGGCAGACATCTAAATCTCTACTGGTTTTCTATCATCATAAATTGTGGCAAACATAAATCATAGTCTGTAAGTTCTAACAATTTTGCTATTAATTTTGATATTCAAAACTGAGACTAGTTCTATGGCTATCAGGAATCCTTAACGAACTTGTTTCACATTAGTGACTTCTCTTATTTTATTTCTATTGCTGTTCTTTGTCCTTGATTAACCTTTGTACTCTTTTCTTTTTTGGCTTCGTTTTTTCATGTACATATATAAACGCTTGTTGTTTAAAAGAATTAAACAGAGAGCGAAGAAAAACATACATCTTGAACCGTATTCGTCGCTCTTCGTGAGCGCGAACCCTAACACCTATTATGTATTTTACCTTTTGGACATAGAATACAGTCTTGAAGGAATGAACTTCCTACAATAAAAGAAAAAAAAATAAGTAAAAAAAACGACCTTTTCTTGTTTTGATTTCTGACCTTCAACAACAATTGATCGAATTGATAATGGAAAATGGAATGCATTGAGACCAACAGTATACAATGAAAGTATATACTCTCCTGGTGCATTAATATCAATCTAGATGATGAATCATTTTAAAATAGAACATAATAAAAATTGGAATCTTTCTTTTACTTTTCTATCTTTCCAAATACCATAACCTGTTGGGTATAGAACTAAAAAAGAACGTTTTTTTGAATCACGTTCATCATCATCGTTATCATCATCATTATCCTTATCTGTAATACTAAAATCACATCGTGATGTAATCTAAATAAGATATGTGTTTTTTTTTCTTTCTAATCAAATAAATTATATTGTAAGTTATTTACGGATCCAAAAACGTATGATGTGGCTAAATTATATGCTATAGTGATTGATCCAGCTCGTTCAAGTTTAAATTGAAGTGAGAGATAAATAGCACAATTACGTTGTGCATCACCTTGTAGTATATTTCCTTTCACTTTCCAAAGTCTAAAAATATTCATTTTTTGTTTCAATATATTAAATAAATATTTATTAAACTCTTACTCTTTTCCTTTACATTCACTTTCGTATGTGGAAAGCACTGATCCTATTTTAAGGGAAAGTTCTGGCATTGTTTTTTCACGATCATCGTCTTCATTAAATGTATATTGATGACCACCACCAAGTGAAAATGTTCCTGAAGTACAATCTTTACATTTAAGTTTATCTCTATCAAATGTTTGTCCTTTTGGACAAGCGAAATCTAATTAAAGATAAATGACATTATTTTTTTTCCAAATCTATATTCATCAAAATTTACTTACTGCATTCAACAGCTTTAGGCTGACTCACTGATTTTCCTTTACATACTTCTTTATTAGTCGGTACTTCGATCAACCATTGATATTCTTTATTTTTATCACATTTCGATACAGCATAGTTTGTGTCAAGCTAAATTCAAAAATATTCTTTAAACAAATTATAAACAAAAAATGGACATATAAATCAAGTGTTTTTTTTTTTTTCGATTACAAAATATTTTCTTTTTCTTTCAATTATATAAGAGATTGATAAAAGAGTTCGATCAAAGAAAATAAAAATCAAGCAATTAATCACCAAGAAGAATTATATTAAATATAATATAGATGTAAAAAAAATAAAATACCTCAACCTTGTCTACGTTCGAAAAATGTCAAACAGCTCTCACTTTTGCTTTTTGTTAAAATGATATATATTCAAGATTAATGATCATTATTGATCGTTTTTATAGCAATATAAACGAATAGCTGTAAGTAGAAGTTATATATAGCAACATAAAGAGCATATATTTATTTATTAGTAAAACTAGAAAACAAAAATAAAATATTTACTTACACATTCTTCTCCTGTTGTTATATCGAGAAAAGTGAAAATCAATAAAAGAAGAATTTCTTTTGATTGAAACATTATCTGAAACAAAATAGCCCTTGAAACATTCATTATTCTTTTTTTGAATAAAAATAAAAATCAACATTTTATAAAAAAAACATCATAACAAATAACAACAATCAAAGATTTGATGAATCAAAAAAAAAAAACAATCATATTTTATAAAGTATAGCTTGTTTATACCAATAATAGGCGTAGTTGCTTTTTTCTTATCCACCGATTAAAATCATTGGACGGTTTTCTCGTGTTGGTAAAATATTCACTGGTAAATGTTCTTTTTCTTTTTTATATAATGTTCGTTGTATTAATGAATAGATTTCTTCATCATTTAAATCTGATCGAAGAGCATCACGTAATGATACTTCTTTATTATCAAATAGACAAACCTAAAGATATCTTTGTTTTTTCCTCATATAAAATTGTCTCTTAATAAATCAACTAACTTTTAATTGTCCATCAGCTGTAATTCTAACTCTATTACATGTAGAACAAAAATGTTCACTCATAGATGTAATAAAACCAATTTTACCCTGATATGAACTATCTTTTACACGATACCATTTTGTTGTATCATTTTTATCTTCTTGATAAAGTTTTTCTAAATTATATTTTTGTTTTATTATTTTTAACATTGCTTCATATGGAAAATATTTTTTTTCAGTCCATTTATTATCACTAAATGGCATATATTCAATAAAACGTACAGCTAAATTTGATTGATCACGTGTTAATTCAACAAAATCATTTAATTCATCTGTATTTACACCTTGCATAACAACACAATTTATTTTAACTAATGGATATAAATTTGGCATATCCAATGCTAAACGTATATTTGTTAAAACACGTGTAAATGCTGCACGTCGTGTTAGAAATTCAAATTTTTCTTTAACTAATGAATCTAAAGATATATTTAATGAATTAAGACCAGCTTGAGCAAGTGGTTCAAGTAAACGATGTAAAAGAACACCATTTGTTGTTATACCAATTGTTTTAATTGATGGATATGAACGTATTCCATGTACAATATCAATAAGATCTCTACGAATCGTTGGTTCTGAAAAAAAATTATGGAATGAAGAATTAAAGAAAAGAATAAGTAAATATTCGACTAAATAAATATTCATGCATAAAGAATAAGCTGCTTAAATGGTGTAGCGACGTACCTCCTCCGGTTAAACGAATTTTATTAATTCCACCATATGTTGTAAAAATACGAATAAGACGTAAAATTTCATTTGTAGTTAGTATATGATTTGCTGGTGAAAGGTCAACACCTTTTTCAGGCATACAATATTGACATCTATACAAGTGAATGATTATACATATATTGTTTTTTTCTTCCTACGAAAATATGGGTATAACCTTAGATTACACCGTTCTGTTAGTGATATACGCAAATAATTATGTAAACGATTAAAACTATCGATAAGTAATGTTGATCGACGGGAAACAGAACTCATTTAGAGAGAAAAAAGATCGGTTAATAAAAAAAAATCGATTAAACTTTTGAAATACGCCTTTTACTGATAAGTTTAGAAGAATGAAACAAAAAAAAAATAATAAAAACTTGATTGATAAAAAAAAAAATGTTCGCAAAAAGAATATATATGTCAGATTCTATCGAATATGAAATGATCTATTATCGTGGACCAATCAAAAAGTCGAAAATAGAGCATACGTGGATTTCTAAGTCATTGTTTTATAGTGACATCTATAATATGATAATTTCCCACATAATATTAGCTACTTAATTTCTAATGTTCTTTTTTGAGCAAGTATGTGCGGATCACCAGAGAGCAATTAGAGACAATTGTTAAGCCTGAAAAAATTACTAATGACATACACAAGGTTGAAAATATGTTTTCCTTTAATAATAATAATATATTACAATCTATTAACACACATGCTGACTCACCTATGTGAGCGAGCTACTTATTTTTCTATGTCCTCGTTCTAGTCACCATTTTTGCTACCAAGGCTTCATATGAGATAGGATGGAACAGAAAAAAATTGTTCCATGAAATGAGATATATTTCAAAATTTTTTATTCCACATGGGATAGAACAAGTATCAAAAATTTTCTGTACCATGAAATGGAATACTTCGAAAAATCTTGCGTTCCATTCTATCGCATAGGACATCATATTCGTCAAGTGCTTTTCATAGAAATGAAATTTATTAATACATTTATCCATTTGATTAATTATACAAAATATTATACTACTGAGAGCAATCCAAAAGTAATGGCGAAGGTACTTTTTCTCCATATAGAAAGCTTAAAGAAATATTCTCTATATATATAGTGATAGTAAAAACGATGCTCTATTTTTTTGTGATATTTGATCATTCTTCAACTAATATTCTTATATTAAATTTTGATAAGAAGTATTTTTTTAATGATATGTGACGATACCATTAAATCATATTGTCTTCTACGTATATTCTCCTTCTGCTTTTCTCTCACACCCACATCCTCAGAAGACATCTTATCAGTTTATTACTAACATATGCATAGATTCACTGCTTTTAACTATAACAATAGACAGAATTGCGTCTTTTGTTTATTTATTCATTCATTATTATCATCATCCATTTTTACTGTGTTCTGATGAGTAGAATACAGGTAGATTCTATACGATAAAATTGCTCATAAAAGTTCGATATTAATGAGCCTGAGAGTCACGATATAATTGACGCTTGAAAGACCAGAATTTCATGTACTGAACACATCATCTATCAAAATTGGACGAACGAAAATTGATTGCTACAAAAAATTAGTTGAAAAACTTTATAATAAAAGTTTAACAGCTTGCTTTTGTAAAAACTTTATTTTAAAGAAATAAATTAAAAAGATGCAACAGAAATCACTTAGCAATCTCGAAGTTATTACAAATCTCCATTGTTTTTATCATTGAGAATTAAAATATCTTTTTGATCATTAAACCAATCATACTAAAAGATTCATGTGAGCTTGTAAATAAACAGACATTAAAAAAAAGTGTTAAATCTATCAAAGAATATTTAAGTTATAATATATATCTGCATCATTTGATTACACATTTGCAATTAGCACTTTTGGTTAGAATAAATGAACAGGCTTGATTATAAATTCTAAAACTATCATTCTTTTGTATCTGTGTAACCTATTTGAATCAATTATCAGTTGCCACGTGCCATTGTTAAATTCAATTCAATAAGTGTCAATTACAGATTTACACCTGAAAGTTCAACTCTTTATTCTTTTCTAACGGATTCCACGGCTATTTTTCTTAGCAAACAATTTTCCTTCGGTCTTTTTTTCTCGCTTTGTCACGCTCAATTGCTACTTAATGACTGTCCAGATAGGATTATAAAAACTGTCGTTCAGCAAAATGCTGGAAGATGCTAATTAGAATTCTATCTTGCTTTTTTTTTAATAAGATAACAGATGATCAGTGTTTTGTTTGTACTTATCAAACTGTGATTAAATTTATTTCAACTTCTTTGGTTTTTTGATCGTTTCCTTCTGTTTTCTTTTTCCGATGGGTTTGTAACCCAGAGAGCAAAATGAATAATAGCATGTCGGTTCAAGCCGATTTGACTGAGTCAAATCGAAGCAAATTATTCATTTATTTGATTTAGTTTCGATCTTGGAGCAGAACTATAGATAGCATATCAATGAAGTATGAATTAATTTTAACGATTAGAAAAATCGAATAAATAGAACAATTAATTATAAACATTATTTTTTTTATATGATTTTATAGTGACATAATGTCTCATTTAATTATCTTGAGAAATTGTTAATTACTTTCATATACAAGATCAGACAAAATTTTTTATTCTAATGAAGATTGAATAATTAAAAACAATTTTCAAATTCAAAATAACATATAATGCAAAACAAAGAATTTTAATATAAATTCTGTATCTCTTCTATAAACATCTACTAGACGAAGTTTGTTAATTTATATGTATTTTTCAACTGAATATGACTTATTTTTGTCTTACACTTATGAAAAAATACGGCATGAAAAATAGAAGAAAGTACTCATAAACGACATTTCAGGAGGACGATCATTTTTTCTCCGTCTTGTTTTCTACAGGACAACTATTTGACTTCAAGTGAGTGTTGATTATCAGGATAGCTTATGTACATTATTGTATTATAATGTATGATTAATCACTATTTGCTTCAATGGAAGCTATAGAGATTTTCCAATAACATCGATCAACACGGCATATGTGTTGTTTGATGGAACGTTTTATGCCTTGCTTAGTTTTTCTTTGAATTTTCTAATTGATTGACTGTTTTTGATTATATAATTCTTTTCATCACTGTCTCAACGCTCGATCGAAGATATATACGTATATATAATCAACTATACAGATTTAGATAAGACAATAACTAAATCATAAATCATTCTATCAATCAGATTATTTGTAATATTGGTAATTGATTATGGAAGATGAATAATCTCTAATAACATTAGTTATGATGCATCATAGACTATTTTGAGTTAAGTATTTAAGTCATCATTTTAATCAATGTTCATTTAGATTTAGAAGTAAGCTACATTAAATTAAAATAGAAAAGAAAATCTTTTGTGTGAAAAGTGCTAGTCTTCGACTTTTTATTATATATATATATATAAGATCGGATTAGATATTAAAAGAGCGTTTTTTTAAGGCGATAAGATTAATTACGAATCAATTTAGCTAAGTAGATAAAGTAGATTTTAAATAAAAATAGTGAAAGAACAATATTGTCACTCATTATAGTTTTATTTGATGTCTTAATGTTAACTAATCACACAACTATCAACAGTAAGTAATTAAAGTTAAAAAACCTAACTAATAACGAGAAAATATGAAAAATATTTAAAAAAATAATTAAATAATTTAGGAAACAGATCGAAAATTTCTTTAAAATGAATATTTAATTATTTTAATGCCAAAAGTAATTATGAAAAAAAAAGTACCATTTTTAATGACATACCAATGACACAGCATGGAGAATAATAGTTTCATCATTAAATTTTATAATATAAATAAAAATCTTTTACGTATTAATCTTTCATTTAGAAAAAGAGATATATAAGCACAAAAGTAATGATTTTAACGTCTATGTCATTTCTCTTTTTGTCTTTCTCGAAAGATATTATTAAGAAATGTGTGACAAAAATAAGTTATATAATGTTCGGAAGCGAAGGCTCATAGGCATCAATCAAACAGAAACAAAAAAAAAAGAATGAAAATTTCTATTTATTACATTTGCAGAATAGTTTACTTAATGTTTTTTTTTCTCTTACCAAACTATATATGAATAGTACATTATAAATTTTATTTGAAATTTTGCACATTTCCTGTCATTCTTATTTTCAGTTATTAGCTAAATGTCAGGCGTTTTATACTATGCAAAAAATCTCTTATTAATCGATAACAAATAATAGTCGTCGTTAGTATTCACAATATCTTTCCATCAGTAATCAGCAAGTAAATGTATTTCTTATTGGTGTTGTGTAGAAAGTTTTTTAATGAACAAAATGTTTTCTGTTATTTATAAAGAGAATAAAAAGATACGAAAAATATTTGATATTCTATTTTTGATCTTTATATTTTCAGAAAAACTTGAGTAGTAATTGATTAACTTCAATTTATTCCGTACCAAAGTTAAATCTTTAAGAAAAAAAACAATATTCTACTGGTGTAAGTTAAATTTCCTATTACTATAGACAATTCTATTATTCAAAGTTAACCAATATGAGAATAGATAAATAAGTTACATTTGAAAATTTCCGTTGAAAGAATACATAAGTACTTGAATCATGTTCCTAAACAAAAAATGATTTAAGTATATTTTCGTTTAATTTAGAAATTTCTGGGTAGGCGAAAAAAAATATTTCGATAAATTTTCTAATAGAAGAACTTTTCTCTTTTGAAAACCATTCTGCTTCTACATAAAAAAATACATGTAACCGTTGGATTTAAATATATTAATTCGTGAACAGTAAACTCAAACATAACTGTCACAAACAGTTTATTAGTATTCAATGAAGAATTATAAGATTTGTTTTCGGTAGTGTCTTTCGATTGAAGTTTTTTCTTACAAGTTTTATAAAATGTTATTAAGAATTATAGTTACGTTTTAATTTTTTTATTTCATATATCAGTTTATATATATATATATCTCCTTGGTCAAAATAAATTGAACACATTAGTTTTTCGATTGTTTTTCGCTAGTGACGTGGTTTATACTCACATTTATATCATTGATAGATGTTTGATTACTGGACTTATTCTGAAAGTTTCAGTCCTATAGAGTTAAAACTTTCCGAGAAAATAAAAAATATGTCTCATGTACTCATGTATCACTGAAATAAAAATTTAATGTTTTTTTTTTTATTTTTCTGTTATTGTAATCTTTATTTTAGATCTCTGATGGTAATTAGTTAACCTATGTACTTGACCACAGAACGGAAACATCTTAAGATGTTTCCGTTCTGTAGTCAAGTACATAAGTTAACTAATTACCACCAGAGATCTAAAATAAAGATTACAATAACAGAAAAATAAAAAAAAAAACATTAAATTTTCATTTCAGTGATACATGAGTACATGAGACATAGTTTTTATCTTCTGGGAAAGTTTTAATTCTATAGGACTGAAACTTTCAGAATAAGTCCAGTAATCAAACATCTATCAATGATATAAATAGAAATGCAAATCACGTTACTAGCGAGAAACCATTGAAAAAAATAATGTGTTCGATTTATTTTGGCCAGGGGGATACATATTGTAATAGATTTGACATGCAATATTACCGATTCTTTTCATATGTAGAACAACAATAATTTTAAAGTTTTATAATATAAACTTCGTTCCTTCTAAAAATATCATGAAATATCGATGATCAACGTATCATATTATATAAAAATTTAATGATCATATATTCGAATTCATTTCTGTTATATAAGTATTAATATAAACTATATATATCCAGGACAAAAATGTCGTTTTAAAGATTTTCTTTTCTTTTTTTTTTTACTAGTAAGATATCCATATAAATTAAGCAACATATTTACATTTTTCAATCAAATATGATAATAGTATGAATAAGAGTATCCTTTTCATTAAGAATATGAATATTTCTTATATGTATTTTGAAATAAAGCACTATCACCTTGGATGTAGATGATGAATGATAATATTTTGATTTTTTTTCGACATGCCATCCATATTCAATAAGAAATAATAAGAATAATTCTTATGATCTTTGGTTTTTTTTTGTGCTCTTCATAAAAATATATTCTGACAATTGTGTTTTTGAGACAAAACAAAGTACAGAATAGGAAATTTAGATTTATTATTTGCATGTTTATATCTTTTCAAATTTAATTCATTGAGAAATTGCGTACTTAAATTATTAAATCGATAAAAAATTGAGCTATTATCGTGCCTAGATTATCTTTATTTTCTAAGCATGATATGTCTCAATATTAATTCTTTGAAAAAATAAGAAAACAAATCAATTTCTAAAGGAAATGTATCTTCCGTCTGAGTTTAATATTTACTGTCTGTACGATCTTGTTAACAACCTAATTGTAAACGAGAGCATTAGAAAATAAGAGAGAAAGAGAGAGAGAGAAATAAAAAGAAAACGATGTCTTTGACGATAGTGCGTGCCTGTTCAAATAAGAAAGAAATATCAATCTAGATAGCCTGCGAGCAACATCAGTCGACAGGATTATAACATATTTTATGAAGCCTACATTCATCATTATTGAAAATATTCAATTTTATTATCAAAAATTACAGCAATAGCTTTTATATTCATGTAAAAAAGAAAAGATTTCACACAGTAAATCAAGGTAGTCGTATTCTAGTTTTTATATATTAGAGAAATTCTTATATATTTTATATTTATTATTTTATATTTTTATTTCAGTATAAAGAAAATGATCACAAATTATCATCGTCATTTATTTTTATTAACTATTGTTGTTATTTTTCTTGTACTATTCCCTATAGTCAATTGTACAAGTGATCAAATGAAGGCAAGATCAGTTGAAAAGAAAATGCAAACAACAGCAATAATAAGAAATACTTTAAATAATATATTAGAAGAAGAAAGATTAAATAATGATTCTGAAGAAGAACATTTAAATAATGATTCTGAAGAAGAAATCAAACATCTTCTTGCAGATATGATGAAAATTTATCCAAAACGTCGTGCAGCTTTATTTCATGCTATGCGAGGAAAAAGATCTACTAACATTACTTAAAATGATCGTTATTATGAACTTAAGTCTATTCCTATGGGTAAAAGAATTTTTCTTTTATGAAATAAAAGATCTTGCATTTAAAAATATTAAACTTGTTGTATATAAAAGACAAAAAAAAATACAATAAATAAATTTATTCTTTTATTCACAATGAATATTTTATACTTAAATATTATTAATGATAAATGTAACATAGTTTCTAAAATAAGAAATGCATTTCTTGTTAAAAAAATTTTTAATTATCTTCTTGTTTATCACATATATCGGCTTTAGATAGATTGACAAGGAAACTATAATTGATGCTTCAACGATTCTAATTAATTCTAAAATAATGTGCCTGATATAAGGAAATATTGTCGGGATAAAACTAATTCTCTGTGTCCTGTTAAACATCTAGGCATAATTAGAGAAAATACATTATGTCTGCACGAAGTGATTTGATTGCATTGTTCGAATAATATTTTTTTTGTTAAATATATTTTGATTTAATTTGTACTTAAAAGTCAATTTATCTGGAAATATGAGTCGAGATTTATTGAAATTTATTCAATATAGTTACATCATCATTTTAAATCAATAAAACATATTTCAATATATGAAATATATTGCACTTAAGTTAAAACACACTTGAAGAATATTATATTTCGTTTTAGAAGCAGAATCGGTAAATAATTTCATTATTTTCTTCTCTAATGGACATTATGGAAAGCATCTCGTAGTAGCATCGAATGTCGCTTTTATCCAGGACAAAATGAATAATAAAAAAATATAAGTAATCAGCACGGAATGAACGTGCTGACGTCATCGAAGATTGAATATAAGCTCAATTGAGATGTCGTAGTAAGAAAAAAACAACATACTACGAGTTTTCTATCACAATTGAATATCTATGAACTTCATATGTTATGTCATTGTGTCAATGCTCATATTGAATCTATGCAGTTCGGTACATGTTAACCCGATAAATATCAGGTTTTTTTATGATGAAATTTAAAAAAAATATTTTATATAATGATAATTACTATGAATAGACTGATATTAACCTAGTTCCGCCTATTAGCATTATTTGATCACTATAATATTAAGAAATATTTTTAATGTTAGCTAATAATAGAATAATGATGATGTGTGACAATTTGATGTGAATTGAATTTAGATGTAAACTTATATTTCAAAATAGAAATAAAACTATTTGTACTTTCAAGTCATAGTTTTGATCATTCGATTTGTGTTGAAATAGTTGATCAAACTCTAAAAATTTCTTATTTAATTAAATACATTATAGGATTATATCTAAATTGAATGATCTACTTTCTTTTTTTTTTATTAAAAATCATAATCATGTGAAAAAATGTTTTTTCATTCATAAATATTGATATTATTAACCGTAATCAATGAGATATACTTAATAGTTACTATTATATATTAAACCATGATAAAACTCCTGAAGATTTCATTTAAAATATTATTAAGATGACAGTATGACCTAAAGTAATAATTACAAATTATAACCTAAGGACATTTAACAAAAAGAAATCTTTATCATTATTGACATGCACACAAACTATGAGTCAGAGAGTTCATGCTATTCATATTGTGATCAACTGCACTGATATAAAATAAATTAATCAATTTTGTAGTTTATTAAGCAATTATTAATAATAATGTAGGTCAAAGTTGTTCGAACAATTAATTTTCTTGAAGATATGATGATGCACAGGTGTAGGGATTACAATCATAATATTTATTTTTTACTTTAGCTTTGGCTACACAAATCTTCATTCTATCAAATACTTATTCAATCAAGAATGTTGTAATCGAGAGAAATCAAAATGATAAAAGTAAATGAATAATTGACTATGTAACAGTTTTTTTTTTCGACATATAATTACAACATAAAGGATATACGACCAAAGACAAAGCGATATCAATACATTTTTTTTAAATAATGAATTTTTAGACACATTATTTGTAAGAAAAGAATATATAAATAATTATATATGAATTGTATCATATGTAAAATATATTATTTTGGTAATATTACTATTTTAGAAGAATTGAGCATTTTTTTTATATAAATATCGTTTGTAAAATTTTTAATATTGAACTATGTTGAATAAATATTATGATTGCTTACCAAAGCGAAAACTCACTGAAAAATATATACATTTTCTAATATAAAATTTTCGGATGGGACATTTGCCTTCTAGACACACAACAAAAATGGTCGACTCATACTATTTTTGATTCTTCTAACCTATCGAAGAGCAAAAAAAAAACTATTCAATAGTAGTGTCAAATGTCAATATAATATTGTGCTAAGCAAAAGCAAATAACATAAATGTAATAAAGAATAGGCTGACGAAAAATAAGTCTTCGTTTTTATAAAATTGATGCATATAATATGTCCTAATAGAAAAAAAAACGAGAAACAAAGCGTCATTCATTAGATTCTACAATGCATTTTATCGACATTGTTTTTATCGTTGTTTTTGTTGTTGCCTCGAATAATTGTTTCGGAACACCTCTCGATGACTATGTCAATACTCCCGATCCAATGTTCAGCTGGAAACGTCTTCAAACTTATCCATTATCGACTCATACACTCTACGTATTGAATATGACATCACAACAATGGTTTGATGGTAAAATCATATTTAATCTAGAACCTTAAATTAATCATCTCTTATATAGAGTCATTTTCTTCACATCCAATTTGGTGGCATTATTTGACTATAACAGTTCCAAGAAGTATTCGTCGTTATAGAACGACATTCCTATTAATTAATCAAGGAGATAATACTGATGCGTAAGTTAATGTTGTAGTATATTTATATGAAAAAGAAATTCAGGTATAGTCATTTATCAACGTCTTATAATTAAATCATAGAATAAAATCAATGACATTCAATATTTTAATATTATATGAGATCTTTTTACAGCAAGAAAATTTGCATATTATCTTAAACAATGTGTTTTCTGTATTTCTATTTGATGAAAATGTACAATCTTTCTGCATACTCGACTCTAATCAATTTTAGAATGCCTACAACGGATCCAATGACGAATCTTGCACTGCGTACAGATAGTATCACAGCTACGATTTATCAAATTCCTAATCAACCATTTCGTTTTTGGGTATATTATTTTATAATCGAACTATTATTTCTATCATTATTGAGTTCTTAAAGAATGATCCATTGAATAAACTTCGAGATGAAGATGCACTTATTGCTTGGACATGGAAGAAATTTTTTGATATCAATGGTACTGATCCAAAAGTGCTTCTTCGTTTCCCAATGACTAAAGTAAAAAAAAAAAACAATCTTACGAGGAAATATATTCAACTGTTAATTACTGATTTTGTTCATAGTTAGTACTCAGTGAGACTAGAACAAGGTGTTCATAGGAAAATCAAAAAAAAAAGGAATTTTCATCTGAATGTTTGTTCGAAAATAGGTCCTTTTTTTTGAATATTCAATATTTCGAGAAGCAACCATCCGTTTTGACTGAAACATCCAGAATATATATTCACGACCAAGAGGTCTATTTATGGACAAAAGTCCATGTAAAAGTTCCTTTGCTTTGGTTTTTCTGTAAATATTTCCCATAAGTCGAAAATTCGATAAAACGGTCATAACTTGATAAGGAAAGTCTATAGGGAGAAATGCTTTCAGATCTCTTCTAGTCTCACTGAGTGTTAACTATGAACAAAATATTATTTTGATTGATGACTAATAGTTGAATACATTTCCTCGTTGATCAATATTTGAAACTGTTTACTTCTTTGATAAAAAAAATAGGCAGTCGTACGAGCGATGGATACTATTGAACAATTCTTCAAACAACAACACATTACTGTACCAGAAGAATTTGTTATCGGTGGTGCTTCAAAAGTAAGTGTTCCATTTTTGTTTCACATATGTTTCAAACTGTCAATTGAATTTCTTACTTTATAGCGTGGATGGACCAGTCAGTATATATATATATAAAAGAGTTTCTTTGGTATTATTTTACATGAAATTCTAGCATGGACAACTGCGGCTGTCGATAATACACGAGTAGTAGCGGCAGTTCCTATTGTCATGGATCTATTGAACCTGCGACCAGTAAGATAAAGATTGACTATATGAACCAGTTAATTTTTGTTTTACTTTTATTTCTAGAGCATGATGTCACATTATCGCGTATGTATTAATATCATTAGTGACAATAATACATTCTTTTTCATAGTCTCTCGGTGGATGGACATTTGCATTTAATGATTATTACGAAATGAATATTACTCGCTATATGAACAGTTCTATGTTTGATAAATTGGCTGAAATGGTTGATCCATATTGTAAGACATTGAATAATTTGTTAAACTATCAAAAAAAAAATGGTGTCTATTTCTATAGCATTTTTGGATCGATATAGCAACACGAAAATTTTTCAACTTCAAGGTGCTGGTGATGAGTTTTTTCTACCTGATAGTGAGGTAAAATTATAACTATCGCCTATTAGTTAAATGAAAAGTAAAATTTTAACTATTGTTAGGATTTTTTCTGGAATGATTTGCAAGTTACTACTGGTGGGTCTTATTTGAGGTAAAAGAACTATACAAGATATGACGAAATCAAATACTATGTTTTATATACAGACGTATACCTAATACTGGTCATAGCATAAAGGGATATGAAGACAGCTTAGCTAGTTTTTATTTAAGTGTGGCAGATGTAAGTAAATATTAACTTCTATGTTTATTTAATTGCTTAGAAATATAGAGAATACCATTACCATCAATGAAATGGACGCGTACCGTGAATGGAACACACGGTATCATTCATGCTATCGTTGATTTCAGTGCTGGAAGGCCGAAACCTACAGATGTTTCTGCTTATCAAGCTCGTACTAGTGATACTTTAAGGTACGATCAGAGAAAAAAACAGATATAAACTTTAATATTCTTTTGCATTTTGTAGACGTGATTTTCGACGAGCAAAACTTGATCAAAGTAA